CCGGTGCGCATGCGCAGAGCTCGGTCCCCGTGGTGCAGTCGGTGTGAGCCGGTCGCCCCCTGCAGGAGGGAGGACGAACTGCAGTTAAGATCTTACAGACCCGGTTTACCCGCTTATTCTCTATTGAACTCTTCTTAAACTTGTTTTTCTTTCTGTTTTATATATTTTATATCTTCAGTGTAACTTTTACTAACTGTTTCCTGGATAAACTTTTTATAAATCAGATATTCCTTACTTCTCCTCTCGTCTGAACAGGGGTCGAGTAGAAATACGTTTTCTCTGCTTTTACCAAGATTATGGTGCAAAAAAAATCTGGATTCACAGTGACGATGGTGAATAAGAGGAAATAAATATGTCTGTAAGTGATGAGATGAGATGGAAGGTAAAAAGTTCTATTATTTTGACTCTTTTTAAAAATGTTATCTAAATGTCTTTATTTCCTACGTTGCTTTTATGCTTTATGTAAAGTGCTTGAGTTGCCTTGTCGCTGAAATGTGCCGTACAATTAAACCTTTAAACATGAAGGACAGATTATATTAATGAGTAAACATCAGAGCTGCAACACATGAGACACAATTCAAAGGAAGTTAAAAGGAGGAAAAACGTTTAAGAGAAGTTTAGAGGAACGTTATCGTATATTACATTTAGTCATTGTAGTTGTACTTATAGTTTGTTTTTGTTCCTTTGTAAAACACATCTCTACACATCTCAACTGTTCATTAAGCACTTCGACCTGTGCTGAGCGGAGCTCCTCAGTAGTTTGATCGCTTTAAGGTGAGTATTGGAAATATTAAGAGTTCAATCAGAGTTTGAATTCAGGTCTGAGCTGACAAACAATTAAAGAATGTAATAAATAAACTTAACATAAAATCTAAGCAGCAAACAACTTCAAATAAATTAAAATAAATCATCAAATAACTTTGAGGCTCTGTCTTTCCAGTCACATTACTTATAAAAATCTGCACTGTGTTATCAAATTTAGCTATAATGAAATATTATTAAACAAAACTCAATATCTTTGTTTTTTTTCCCATAAAACAACCAAACTTAATGTTGTGGAACAAAAACAGGCGTCACATGCTTCGTCACAAAAACAGTGAGCTGTAGGAAAGATGACAAAGACAATAAATTAAATCTTTACATGGATAAATATCATTTGAAATGAACCCCTTTCATTTTAGGAAACAAGAGAAATGACACAATAAAAATCTTTGCTTTCAAAGGAAAAATGATCTTTTGTCATTAATGAGCTCAAAGTTTGTTTCCTCTATTTACTGCTTTGATTAGCAGAGATGATCCAAATGAAGTAAAAAGGGGGCCGTGCAGCTCTAAACACATTAAAAGCAGCAGCTGTTTGATGAGTTCAGGATCCCATCAGAGTGATTGCATGCAGCTGTGCGGCTCCCTGCCTGGAACCAGGTCCTGGAAGGTCCTGGATCAGCTCAGATGGTTCTTCACTCATGGACGAGTCTGCGTTGGAGCGATTTTGATGACTCCATTGCAAATGTGAGTTCAATCTGTCGCCTCCTCTGAGTCTGTGTGAGCAAAACTTTATTAAACGCAGAGCTGATCAGTGACCCTGTTGGAGATTTAACCAACGGTCAGCATGAAGTGAGTTTTCCTGGAAAGAAAACATCAAACTCAAAGTTCCAAACATTTGATGAATTCACACGTTTCACCTCGTTTGACATGTTTTAGGAACAAAAAGCTGTTTGAGTCGACATCATTATTATTATTATTCAGATCACGTGAACATGTTGCTGTGGAGGGAGGAGGAGCAGCTGCTGCAGCTGAGCACTTGTCTCATTTCTTGTTTTCTCTGGATGAAACTAACAGAAGGTTGTTTAAATGTTATTTTTGAAAACTGAAACTGGAAAACTTCAGAAACGCACCTCAGTGTGATTCTTGATGAGAATCGAATGATCTGCAGATCGAACTGTAGAATGTTTTGGGAAAGTTCTGTCTGCCTGGGAACCGGAGGGTCGCCGGTTCGAGTCCGGCTCAGTCCACAGATGCATGGCGTGAGCACTTCCCATGTGTTGCTGTATTTCAGACCTGTGTGTAAAAGACTTTAACAGGAAATAACTTTACTCATGGACTCATATTTCTGCTGCTGTAACGTGCGTTATGGTAATTGCATTTTTCTTTTGTAACACGTTTCTCCCAACACTGGTTCTAAAGATTAGTCAGAGAGAGAAGGATAGATTATGATTAATCCGCTGCACCGTGGTACAGGAGACAGTCGGTACAAATAACACAGACTAAAGACCGTAAAGTGCAGTTAGAGACAGTAACAGTACTGATAAGAATAAATGAAACACCTGCAGGGAGCTCCTCCTCTGATCCACCATCTGTTTTCTCCCACAGGACTCCGGCTTCAGTTTGGGGGAGGAGTTGGGCCTCCAGAGCCCCGCCCACCCTGCACCCAGCGGGGAGCCGGGGGAGGAGCTTGACCTCAGCTTCCTACCTGATGACCTCAGCACGCAGGACGAGGCGGGGCGTCACGATGACACAGGTGTGACATCACAGATGATGCTTTACAGAAAGAAACTATATGATCAATAATTTAATGTTCAGCTTTACACTTTTATTCACTGATATAACATTTAGTGAAAGTCACACTGAGCAACACTTTATATTAGAGAAATAAACGATTTACTAAAACAGGGCTGAAAACATGTTATCACTATTATTCTGACTGACTGTGATCCGATCTGCTATATTAGAGGAAAATCCAACAAACACTGAACCAGAATGATGAGTTTTGTCTATTTGGATCTTTGAGCTGTGTCAAACCTTAAAGACCATATTTCCTTCAAAACCTTTAAAATGTGAACCGAAGCTCATAGAATAAATCCGTTTAAAAACCTGACTGGCAGGTGGGTGTGGCCTCTGTGAGGTCCCAGGAGGCGGGGTTAACCTCTGAGTTTTGGGGCGAGTTCAGCGCTGACAAAACATTTTTTCGACTGAAATGGTCGTTCGCTGAACACCCTGTTGTGGACGCAAGCGCATTGCGTTTTCCTGCCTTGTGTTTACAAACTTGTCGCCGCTGAATGGGTAAAACCTGTGACACGCCCACCAAACAGAAGAAAACGTACCTCAAAGCCCGTTGCAGAACGTTGCAGAACGTTGCAGAACATTACGAGGAAACATGTTCAATCTGAAAATGTTGCAAACCGGTGCAGAACGTTTTGATTGAACTCTCCCCTGATCTGTTGCAGCAGAGAGTCAGACTGCAGCTCTGGACGTGTCTCAGGACAGCGGCGTCTGTCTGGACTACAACTCTCAGGGTTCAACAGCAGCTGACCCCCAGCAGGGGTCGTCCGTGTCGGGGCTGGGGACCGGAGCCTCCCCCTTCTGTCCCATGACCCCTATGACCCCCATGACCCCCATGACCCCCGTGACCGAGAGGTCAGGAATCATCCCACAGTTACAGTAAGTCACAATGTGTACCGATACTTTATCTGCAGTGCCAATACAACCTAAGAAAAAGTGTGGCCCCCCCCAGTGGCCCCCCTGGCAAGGAGCAAATGTATAAAATTGCTTGCGCTCTCTCTCGCATTCAATTCAAATTAGCTTTATTGGCATGAATGTAACAACAACATTGCCAAAGCATCATGTATACAACATAAGAACAATCAGCCCCATACATTTCATTAAACAAGTGTAAAGCGTCAAAGTGTGTTGTGTTAAAAAAAAGAAGCAAAAAAATAAAATGCATAAACAAAACAGTAAGCGTGTGTGTGTGTGTGTGTTTAAAAATAAAAAATAAATAAAACAGTAAGCATGTGTGTTAAAAAAAATATATAAATGAAACGGTAAAGTGTGCGTGTGTATATTAATAGACAAAAAACAATTAATTGATTAAAAAATAATGATTTAAAAAAAAAAAAAATCTGTATCAAATGTAAAACAAAACAAGTAGTAAAATATCAAAATAATAATTTTGAAAATCTGTACAATTATTTGTTAGTCTGAGGTTCCACTGGTTGTCCTCACTTCATGGCATGAGGAGACATATTTTGCAGCAATTATTTCACATATGGGCATTTCTCCCAGTAAATAGGGGAGTTTCTGTGTGTCTGATATGAATTTGAATTCGGGGTATATTGGGAAATGTTTGCAAAGTGTTTTTGTCTTAGTGTTTATATTTGGGGCATGAGGTTAGAAAGTTCAGCTCTGTCTCTACCTGTCCTCTGTCTCTACCTGTCCTCTGTCTCTAACTGTCCCCTGTCACACTGGGAGCAGAGTCTCTCCTCTTGTGGTAGCCAGCTCTGTCTGTGATGACCCTTTCTATGGCCAGGCTGTGTTCACTCAGTCTGTATGTTGTCAACATGTTTCTTAGTTTGGGACATTTTATTGTACTCAGGTAATTTGCCAGTGTGAATTCTCTTTTTAGGGTCAGATAACATTGTAGTTTACTTTGTGTTTTGGTTGTTCTTTCCAGTATTCAGTATATTTTTCTTTCTGCTTGCTGATAATTTGGTTTGGTCTTCTTGAGTTGGTGTTGCTGTCCTGAGGCTGTTGGGGACTTGTTACTGCAGAGAGCCTCAGGACCAGCTGGCTGAGGGGACTCTTCTCTGGTTTCAGCTCCTGGTATGTCAGGGCTCTGTGATGATATGTCTGTGTTAACTGATTGTAAGTGATTGTAAAATTTAAGTGATATTTTCTGTATTTTTAGTAGGAGGGGGTATTGGTCGAGCTCTGCTCTGCACAGGTTATTTGGTGTTTTTCTCTGCACCTGCAGGATGCTCTTACAGAACTCAGTATGGAAAGATTCTATGATTGTTTTGTCCCATTTGTCAAATTCATTACTAAGTTTTGGCCCCCAGATTTCGCTACCATAAGAATTATTGGTTCTAGTACAAATTGTAAAATTTTCAGCCAGATTTCAATTGAATATATATTTAATGTTGGCTCTGTACGGACCCAGACAGTCCCCTCGTGGCCCGCCGTTGACCATGTACGGACCCAGACAGTCCCCTCGTGGCCCGCCGTTGACCATGTACGGACCCAGACAGTCCCCTCGTGGCCCGCCGTCGACTCTGTACGGATACGGACCCAGACGTCCCCTCGTGGCCCGCCGTCGACTCTGTACGGATACGGACCCAGACAGTCCCCTCGTGGCCCGCCGTCGACTCTGTACGGATACGGACCCAGACAGTCCCCTCGTGGCCCGCCGTCGACCCTGTACGGACCCAGACAGTCCCCTCGTGGCCCGCCGTCGACCCTGTACGGACCCAGACAGTCCCCTCGTGGCCCGCCGTCGACCCTGTACGGACCCAGACAGTCCCCTCGTGGCCCGCCGTCGACCCTGTACGGACCCAGACAGTCCCCTCGTGGCCCGCCGTCGACCCTGTACGGACCCAGACAGTCCCCTCGTGGCCCGCCGTCGACCCTGTACGGACCCAGACAGTCCCCTCGTGGCCCGCCGTCGACTCTGTACGGACCCAGACAGTCCCCTCGTGGCCCGCCGTTGACCCTGTGCAGACCCAGCGTACGGCAGAGCTGTAGAAGCTGCATACCGCTTGTATTAGTCAGCTTGTCAAAGCTCTTTCTAGCAGGACATTCAGGGAAGCAGGTGCTTCCAGGTAAGTGTTGGTCTCCCTGGGTGTTCATAGTGTCAGCTCTTTCCGCTGTTCGAGCGTCCAAGTCCCCACAGAGTAACACATTTCTCATGGTTTTATAATGGTTAACTTCCTCCTCAAGAATAGAGAAAGTATCTGGGTTGTAGTAGGGGACTCTGATGGAGGTATATAGATGGCACACATGTAGACATGTTGCTCTGTTTGTTCATTTTCAACCATATATTAGCTTCTTCTTCTTTAATAACTGATGGACTGGCTCAGTTCTGATTACACCATATAATCAGGCCTCCTGAATCTCTGCCTTGGGTTATTGTGGGATTTTTTGTTGATGGTATAATAATGTCAGTGTAGCCGTGAGGACGACCAGTGGAAACATCTTCTCTGCACCATGTCTCCTGTAAAACTATGATGTCAGAGTCTTTAACTCTCTATTAAAATCTGGATTTCTGCTCTTTAAACCAAAAGCTGATGATCTCAGACTTCAAATGTTCCAACATGTTATTGTGAACGATTTCATCTCCAAGTGTAATCTGTTCAAAAATTAGACCTTAACACCTTAAAAAACAAATAATAGTAAACTAGATATTAAACAATACTAGTAACAAACGAAAAGGGGGAAAAAAAGTATAAAAAGAGGAAAATAGTGTTGTAGGTAAATGAATAAAATATTAAACTTTGAGTGACATTTTTAGAGTGTATTATGTGTGAAATACTGTTAAGAATTGTCCTTATATTGTTATTGGTTTAAAATGATATCCAACATGCCAAACTATGAATTATTGTGATGTCTCTAAGAGTCTCTGCTCTTCCATCATGTAGCCATGAGGCCAGAGCAGAGCAGGTTTAGCATGTGATATGTCTTTGAGTTCACCAGAGGGGGGCGGGGCTGTGGCTCTTCTCACCGCTGCAGCGTAGTCCAGTCCAATAGGCTGCTGCTCCTGTAGTCTTGGTTCTGCCGTTGGGATGAGGGGGGGTACAGGACCTCCAGGCTGGGGGGCTCTCTGGCTGGGTATCAGGGGCCAGTGTTGTGTTGGCTGTGGGTTTGTGTGTCTCTCTCACACTCGCTCTCTCATGTTAAGTGTTTAGTGGAGCCAGGCTGTTTGTTGACATGTTAAAAAACACAGTGGTAAGAGAGTTTTGTAGTTTTACAGTTATCTATCTTTTGAAATGGTTGGTGCCATTTTTACAAAAATATGACACTGGTCAAATCGGTGGTTAAAGTGGGATATTTCAAGAAAACTGTTGTTGAATGTAACACAACTCTATACAGACACTGATGCCGAGGTGCTTTATCTGTAGTATTGACACGCACACTGTTTGTATGTGTGGGTGCGTGCAGGAACATCGTCTCCACGGTGAACCTTGGCTGTCCGCTGGATCTGAAGTTTATTGCCCTCCAGGCAAGAAACGCCGAGTACAACCCGAAGGTACGTCGCCTCTCCGTCAGGTGATTACTGAGTGTTGCTGACCACAGATTCACCTGTGAGATAAAAACCATGCAGGAATGTCCAGATTATCTGCCAGGATGTAAACCTGAGGCACATCTGCCTCCACTCCGTGACGAGCTGGTCAGCACGGGGGTGCGTTTACCACAGGAAGTCATTCAGAGTGTCAGTATACTGCATTTCTACTGTACATTTCAGCCAATACTACTTCTTCTTGCATTTAACACATTTATACATTGTAGAAAAATGCAAATATTTTACATACATACATGGTGTGAAAAAAGTGTTTGTCCCGTACTGATGTCTCTTGCATGTTTGGGATTTGTTGAGTTGTGTTAATAGTTGCGATCAGGACATTGTGAAATCCTGGAGCGACTGTAAGGCTACAACCACTCTGCTACACTGGTTTTTAAACAGAAACAATCTCTGTCCTCACCAGCGTTTTAGCTGCATATCAGAACTGATCTGTCTGTATTTAAACGGCTGAAAACGCACATCATGTGACCGTTCACGTTTGATCAAGATTCGTCTAAAGAAGAAAGTTCTCCTAGAGACGAACGAGGAACAGCGATGGTGAAGAACCACAGCAGAGATTTCTCTGCATGGACCACGGGAGGACAAAGAGACCGTGGCGGCGGGAAACGTAGCAGAAGGTCTGCGGTTTAAAATCAAAGTAGGAGGGTAGATGGACCCCAACGTAGGCTCGCCACCCGTCCCTTAAAATGCAGAATCATCCCGTATTTGAGAACTAAATAGTATATAATAGTTTTCTGAGTTGTCTTTAATGCAGCATCCCATGCAAACTATCCCACGCATTCTGTAAACTCCTCTTCTACCCCTGATTGGGTAAAACTCGCTGCCATTGATGGTTTGATTAACACTGTCAGGTTCGGGGCCAATCGGAGTCAGGTAAGGGCGGGTCTCTTGGCAGGAAGTCGAGTTGAAGTAACGGCGGCAGCAGCTCCAAAGGCTTTTTGGAAGTCAACAAAACAGGCTTATGCCTTTCTTTTCTTAATGTTTAATTCCTGATCAGTTAGAGTCTGGAGGGTAAATATATGTTCAGACAGTCTGACCGCTAGTCTGCTGAGTTCATCTGTTCACACTGACTTCAACAGCAGATGGCTCATTATGACGTCGGCTGGTATCAATCTTAATACTTCAACATGTTTTAAGTTATGATAAACAACCATAAGGCCTGCCGTTGCTGGGCCCCCCAGGGGTGGGGCCCCCGCTCAGGCAGGCGTCCCTTATTTTCCTGTATTGAAGGTGGCGTCCCTACCTGTACGTGACCAGTTTCCCCGCGTAGTCTTTCTGATTCTGTGACTTCAGCAAACGCTGTACAAATAAGAAAGCTGCACTTCAGCAAACGCTTTCCGTGACGTCGTGGCGAGCAGCACTTTGTTTTAGTTTGTCTGTAGCTCGCATCTTCCCGACCGTCCACACTGTCCCGTTTTCACTACAGGGTTCCAAATCAAATGATTTGAAACAGTGAACCACTTTCAAAACAGCACTGCTAAACCGCTAACGCGCTCACAGACTTTGAGTTAACTCAGCGGATTCTGTCAAGGTTTATATTATATACATGAGGCTTAGCGTTAGCTTAGCATTAGCTCTAGAATACTTTGTGTTCAGTGGTCCTGTGTGTGGTAAACACAGATGGAACGTCTCAGAAGCTACTGGTGGGGTTCAGTTCTTGTGTTGTGTTTCAGCGTTTTGCGGCGGTCATCATGAGGATCCGCGAGCCGAGAACCACCGCGCTGATCTTCAGCTCGGGGAAGATGGTCTGCACAGGAGCCAAGAGGTCAGTCTACCTGTCTCACCTGTCTGTCTCAGGTTACAGGTACGATCAGGACTTACAGGACAGTTTATTAACCAGCTTCTCTCACGTGTCTGAGCACGTGCAGCGAGGAGCAGTCGCGACTGGCGGCCAGGAAGTACGCTCGGGTGGTGCAGAAACTGGGTTTCCCCGCCCGCTTCCTGGACTTTAAGATCCAGAACATGGTGGCCAGCTGCGACGTGTGCTTCCCCATCAGACTGGAAGGTCTGGTCCTGACACACCAACAGTTCAGCAGGTAGAAACACTGACGATCGGTGAGGGCATGAGGTTAGCTTAGCTTAGCACAAAGACTAAGGCCTAAAAATGCACCTTCCAACAACTGCAAAGCTGTGATCAGCGGATTCACTGAGGGGTGCAGAACCTCTGAGTGCTTCATGTTCTGTTCAGCCGGTGACGCTGACCAATAGAAAGCCTTGTAGCAAACCCCCGACGTCCTGCCAGAGCCGACCTTTGAGTCCAACGTGGAGGAAGCTACTGTTGTTCGCTGCGTCACCATTTAATCTGATTTAAGCTCCAGTCAGAGTCGCTGTTTTACATGCGTTTTCCCCACCAGATTTTAGGTTAACTCACTTGATGCTAATCTGGAGTTAAGTGAGAGCTGTCGGGGGGGGGAAAACCTGCGTTTGCACACAATTGACCCTTCGCTAAGCCACGCCCGAATACGCAGCTGGCCAATCGCAGCGCAGTATAGGACTCTGTCTGAGTTCTGACACTTTCATGGCTCCATTGACTCTAATGCAGAAAGAGTCGTTTTCTAGCTTCCTTCTGGCTGTATTTTCTAAGATCTGGTCAAACGCTGTTCCTGCAGCGTCTTGTAATAGTTACAGCAGCTACCCAGAGAGGCTGAAAGGAGAAGGACGATTTATTCTCTCTCCAAAACCTGAAACAAATCCAGAAAAATGTCAGCCGTGGATCGTTCCTAATGTGATGTTAGTTAGCTAACGCTGGCTAACTTCCTGCTTAATGTAACGTAATAAAGTCCTGCTGTTCTGCTTTTAATGACTGTAATAATGAACAGGCCGACCAGCTGTACAGGAACACTGCTGATCCTTCATATCGTTGTCCTCTTTCTCAATCGTCAGATAATAAAGTGGTTCACTTTAGCTTCTGTCTTTAATTTTTCACGTCAGTCTGACAGCCTGAATAAAACCTTCAAATGTACAATGTCAAACTGTCTGCTTCTTTCTGAGGTCGCTTTGTCCAACAGCATTTCTCCAGCGAGTGCAGTAATAGGAGGCGCCGTGATAAAAGTCCGACAGTTTGTTGGCAACTTTAACTAAGGGGGGCGTGGCTAAGCAAAGGGTCAGTTAGGAGCTGGAAGACTTCACAAAGTCAGATGTGCAGTAATGATCCTAACCTTGAGCATTTCCTTTTAATTTAGCCGGGCTAGCAGTTCTCCCCTGTTACCAGTCTTTGTGCTAAGCTAGGCTAATCACGGTCCAGGAATCCCCAAAATGCCAGCGTTCCTTTCAGTCATGACATTTTATTTTTTTCCTTCATCCGCGTCACATGCTAACAATGGCGTCTCAAACGTTCCCATTAGCTTAGCGTTAGCTTCTTGTTTTGTTAGCGTAGCATTTGAATTGAGTTTCTTTTTCACCTGAAACTAGTGAACAAGACAGAGTTTAACATAAAAGTTCAGTCGCTGGGAAGCCTTCAGATGAACATCTTTTAAATCTTTTTAAAGGGTTGTACAACACTTAAACGTTGATAAAAAGTTTTCTGTGTTTCCGTGTCCAGTTATGAGCCGGAGCTGTTTCCTGGCCTCATCTACCGCATGGTGAAGCCTCGCATCGTCCTGCTCATCTTCGTGTCGGGGAAAGTGGTTCTGACCGGTAATGAAACTCAAATGTCCCACCGTGCTTAAACAGTGAAGTAGCAGCAGACACTAGTGAACAGCTGCACGTTGGAAGAGCATCGTTCGATCAGTTGTGACTCTGTCGGGAGAGCCGGGACGACCGAAACACTTTTCTGATGAGCGTCCCTTTAAAAGCAGCTGTGACGTGTGTTTGATCAACACCCGGTGCTGCTGATTCTTCAGTCCCGACCGCTTTTATTTAAAATGTCAAACAAAACATGACGAACATATTGTGCCCGTTATCTTATTAAAAACCTGTTCATTTTTAGAACACGGGGCCTAACGTTCAGTGCACTTTTGGATGTTTACGTAGATCAGCCTGAAGCCGGGTGTTGCGAGTCGCCAACAGTCGGGCTGTGATGGATACTAACGGAACATTTGTCCTCGATTACGATGTTGTTTTGACCTCCATCGTTCACCGAAGAGGTTCTGATTTTCAGTTTCGATTACTTTTCAATAAATCGTGTTGGACAGATGCAAAATATCTGGAGCCGTCGGCCGACTTGACATCCACATCTGACTAAGAGCAGGCAGCTACTTTTTCACCACTAGACTGCGCTGCGGGAGAAGCAGATAAAGAAAACAAGACAAGCGATCAAACGCCACAGCGAAGAGGAGAGCTGCTCACTGCATGCTGGGTAGTCTCTGAGGAACGTTCATAAAGTCACAGCGCGGTCTCTTGGCCCCGCGGGGCCGCTCTGCGCTCCTCAGGTGATCAGATACGGCGCCGCTCTATGGACAGTAACCATGGCAGCGGCTTGTGCGCGCTACACAGCTGCAGCCTGTTTAACTTGAGTTAAATTACAGGCTGCGTAACTTCAGCTGAGAGGCTGAATTCCCTCCTGCTGATGTCCTCTTCAGATTCTGGAAACTCCCAAACAGCGAGGATCAGTTCGGCGGCGGGCGTGTGCATGAGGCGAGCGCTTCTCCTCCCTCTGACTGCTGAACAGACTGTAATTAGAAATATTTTCTAGCTGCTGTGTGAAGGGAAAAATCTGTTTAAAGCAAACCACATGTTACTGCACTTTAATGCATACAGCAGTACACTTAAATTAAAAGGCCAAAGCACTACTTTAGGATACATTATTCAAATTTGACGCATCAAAATGGCTCCCCAACACATTTCTGACACATCGCTGATATCTAGCACGCCAAATATCTGTCGGCCGACTCGGCGTCCACATCCAGCCAATGAGAGCAGGCCTCCAACTGTAGGTTAGACGTTTCCTGCTGCCTGCGTCTGCTGATCCGTCCTTTCACCCAGATTCTTTGTCTTTAGAATAACAAACAGCTGTTTCCTGTGCAGGATCGCTCATTTCACCTGTGTTTTCTTGACCAAACGTGGTTTGGAGACCAGCGTCAGGTGACTCCGCCGCTGTCAGCTCGTGGAGCGTGTGACCTCCTGTCACCGGTCAGTCACGCTGTGTGAACGCCACGACGGCTTCAGGACTCCTGTTCCAAGACGTTAGGAGCTTCCTGTGTGAAGAAATGGAGAAATGCGCTGGTATAAGGACACAATTAGAAATCTCAGCTCATCTTTGAAACAGACGGCCGCTATGGAAGCAAAGTGCCGCTCACCTCTTTGGCCTCTCCTCAAACGGAGAAGGATCGCTCTCCTCGGCGACATAATGTTCGCACAACGAGGATGTAAGTCTGTGAATGAGTCTGTAGCAGAGCAGGTGCTGCAGTAACGTCTTCTTTATAACAACACGGTGGCAACGATCTGCATCTGTTCATCAGTCCTCTCAGAGTCACGTACAGCGAGACGCAGCGACGGGAGAGCACAGCTAACCAGATATATCAGAACGTGAACTTTGGCTCGGACCTCTGTGCGGACTTTCAGGTGTGGAAGGACCCTGCGTCATCCTTGACTTCCTGCTTCCAATCATATTAAGTGATTTACAGTTAAAAATAACTGAATCATCAAAGACGAGGTCGAGCGATCACTTCCCGTCTCACAGACGTCCGAGTCCACCTGATTGTTCTGGCGATTATATGCTACCTTTATGTTCCCTTTTCCACTCTCGCAGGATTAGTCTTCTGTTTTTTGATTGATCATTTCAGGGGCAGCGTCTTCAGAATCATTTTACATTGCACCGCTGCTCGCTGCATGTGCACTGGAAGGAGGGGGGAGCTTATTTCAGATATCAGCGTATAATGATTTGTTGTTGTTATTGCTGGCGATCAGCCGCTGTCTCGACGGCGTGCCCAACAGCAAGGCTGCACAGACGTATGGCCGTGGAAACGGTGCGCAGAACCGCTAAGTAGCACCTCTCGATAGCGCGCGTCAATGGACAGAACACCGGCTCTGAGAAAGTTGTTTCATTGGTTGCGGCTCTCCCCGACATCATTACGAGTTGCCGTGATCAACATTGAACATCGGTGCTCTCTGCGGTAACGAGTTAACTGCGAGACAAAGATCTTATGATGAAAATGAAACAGACGTGTTGTTGTAAGATGGCCAGATCAGCTGCTGTCATCTCCTCACACCCTTTTAGAAATGAACTTGTTTTCATTTTGTAGTCGTGTGTTTATATTCCAGGAGCTAAAGAACGAGCTGAGATCTACGACGCGTTTGAGAACATTTATCCGATCCTGAGAGGCTTCAGGAAACAGTGAGGCCCCGCCCCCTCTGACGCCACTTCCTGTTCATTTGTAAATGCACGTTTACTCTCTGGATATCAGTTTGTTTGTGTTGTGGATGGTGAAGGAGTCGCTTTCTGTTTGAGTCTCTGTTGAATGTTTCGCCATCCTGAAAGAAAATAAATGACAGTTTTCCAAAAAGATTTTCTGTTTTATTTAGACTCTGATCAGAAACTCCCTTTACGATCGATGAGCTCTGTTCATCCAGTCTGGTTCCCCGCTTGGTGTGGATCTTTTGAACAGGTGCAAGAACAGCAGTCCGTACAGTTATTTTTATTAGGGGCCGAGACATCTAGCATAGATAAAGTGAAAACAGCAGTCCAGCGTTTGCACCACAGTGTTTTAGCGGCTGCTAATTTGCAACACCCGTCCCTAGAAGGGCTTTTAAAGAAACATTAATACGATGCATTACAGTATAAGTCGAGATGAAAGGAGGTAAAATGAGTAAATCAAAATGAATGATGAGAAACATGCAATGCTAACTACAGTAGACTGGAAGTGCGTGAACCAACCAGGCCTCTCTTGTGTGTTTAGGTAGCACGTTTCACAGAAAACTTTAGTCGCCACTTGAAGCGGCTCTGGTGGATCATCTGCTGCTTTGTGGGGTCAGCAGATCTTTAATCCCTGTGAGCCGAGCCCGAGTGAGACGGGGTCAGACATGTGATATGTAATGAACGAAAGAGACGCGACGGCCCGGTGAGAGCTACGCTGAGCAGGACGCAGCGAGGATGTCTGATGGAATCTGCTCACACTTCATACCTGATCCGCCTCTTTCGTGTGAACGCGCTCACGGCGGGATGGGAAACCCTGGGTTGACCTACAGAGTTGATGACCGGCTTGGTGTGACAGTTTATCCTGAGTGGAGAAAGATTCGGGCCCCCGGCGGGCTTGGAGGTTCGGGCCCCCGGCGGGCTTGGAGGTTCGGGCCCCCGGCGGGCTTGGAGGTTCGGGCCCTGGGAGTCTTTGTGCTTGCGTTGGATGAACTGGGGAGAGTTCAATCTCCAAACGTTCAGACCGGTTTGCAACATTTTCGGGTTGAACGACATGTTTCTGAATGTTTCCACAAGGGGCCCTGAGGAATGTGTTCTTCTGTTTGGTGGGCGTGTCTCCGGTGTTACCCAATCAGCTGCCACGAGTCTGTAAACACAACGCTGTTAGGAAGGCAGGGAAATGCAGTGTTTTGTCTGCGCTGAACTCTGCAGCCTGTTGGAACGTGAACGAAGCTCCGCCCGCCGCGTTACGTCATTATATAAACAAACCGTGGCCACGCCGTCACGTGTTCAGAGGAAACCGGAAGTGGCGGACTCATCTTCTTGCTCTCCAAAACAAAAACACCTCTGAGCCTGTTGTCGTTTTACAGCCGTGACAGGAGCATCACGGGAGAATAAGGAGCCAGAGGGGAAACATGAAGTAGCGGAGTTAGCTTCACAGTTAGCATTAGCGTCAAGCAGCTAGCGTCAGATTAGCTGGTTAGCTCCGTTAGCTCCGTTAGCTCCTAGCTCCCCGCTCCATGGCGTCCTCCTCCTCAGCGGGACTCCCACCGCGGGGACCGGACCGCGCTGCTGCTTCGGCCTCCGGGGGGAGGCCGCCAGTCCGGCCCCACCACCCCCACCCGGCTCACTCCGCCCCGGGCTGTGTGATGGCGGAGTCGGTGGACGACGCGGAGGGTCTGTACGTGGCGGTGGAGCGGTGCCCGCTGTGCAGCACCTCCCGCCGCAGGCTCACCTGCGCCCGCTGCGTCCAGGCCGGAGACTTCGTGTACTTCGACGGGAGGAACGCTGAAAGGTAAAGTCCAGAGCTTCGAGATGCCGAACTCCATTAACAGATTCACACTTTTTACTTTGGCTCTCGTTTCCCCGCAAAACCTCCAAACGCATGAGGATAAATAAACTGTGGGGATAAAAACACGAACTCTCGGGACAGTTCGGCTGTGATTTCAGTAGAACACGTTAATTCAGACACGTCTTAAACGCCCTATCTGTTCACATCTTCTGCAATATGAACCTGTTTTTCTTCTTCACGTTAAGAAGGGGGAAAGTTAAAGGAAACTCGGGTCCAGATCAAAAACCACTACACCTAGACCTGTCAAATCTGGACTAGATCATTCTAGAGAGGCTAAAGATTCTTTAAGACACCGTTTCAGGTTTGTGAAACATTTATTCTATTGGTGAAAATGCAAAAAAGGGCTTTGGGTGGTCTACATGTAAAACTGATAGATCTCCCTTTTTTCATTTTCACAAACAGAATAAATGTTTCACAAACCTGAAACGGTGTCTTAAAGAAACTTCAGCCTCTCAAAGCCTCTCTGGGTCTAGTCCAGATTTGACAGCTGCACGTATAGTGGTTTTTGATCTGGACCTGGTCTAATGTGGTCTACATGTGAAAAATCCAAAATATAAATGGCCCTTTTTTGCATTTTCACAAACACAATAAATGTTTCACAAATCTGAAACCTTCAGCCTCTCTGGGTCTAGTCCAGATCTGAGAGCAGTGGTTTTGATCTGGACCCGTTAACTGCTGAATCAGGAGCTACCTTCTCTCCGCACATCGAGCTGCAAGTTATGTTTTAATGTCAGCGCGGCCATGACCTCGCCGAGGCTAGTTAGCATTAGCAGAAGCTGTTTGGGATGTGTAACGTGGTGTTCGCTTGCTGTTAGCTGCCCTGCTACGGTTACACAACATGTGAAAACCCAAAATAACTTTGACCTCATAGTTTTCATATCAGAGGGAAGTTTCCCAAACTGGGTTGTGGGGACCACCAGGGGTCTCTGAGGTGCGTCCGGGGGCCCTCAACAACAGAACAAGGACCTTTTAAAGCACCTTCTCACCTGCTCTGTAAAGGTTTATGCCGGTTTAGTTACGGTTTAGTTTGTGTTCTTCAGATACGTAGAAAAGTTGGAGCGGCTGAAGACGCTGAAGGAAGAAAAGGAGCAGCTGCAGCAGAGGTAAGACTTTATAATCTGATGAAGACGGGATTAAAGCATGTGTTAATGTGAGCCGCGCAGCGCTGCAGCCGTTCATATCACCATCAAACCCTCTCTCCTCAGAGTCACGCAGGCCATGGACAGGAAGCTGCAGGCCGACGAGGTGGTGAGTAAAAGCCTGCGACCTTTGACCTCTGTGGAAGCAAAGAAAGGCTAAATAGTTTACATTTTATAAGCAACTGAATACCTGAATGTGAGATTTAAACACTGATATTTTACTTCACTGGTTTGACTTCTACTCTTTGTAATTTCCAGAAGGTCACTGTTAAGGTTTGCCGTTATTTGTTTTCTTCAGGTTCATAAATTCAGAAAGAAATCTCAGCAGGTAACGGCAGACCGGCCTCAGGTTTTCATCTGAGTTCTGGTGTCTGAGGTAACTTTGGAGCGAGCACGCTGCGGTCTGCAGTGGGGCTGAACGATTTTCGCAAAATAATTAAAAAAATTTTTTAAAAGAATTTTTAAGCTCTCAACCTGACATATGATGATGCAGGAATTATTATTCAGAGAAGAAATATCAAATTTTAATAATATGAGCACGATAATTTGAGTCATGGCATTAAATAATGATAGAATATCAGGTCAGACCACAAGAAAAACCAAGTTCACTGCAAAAACCCTCAGTTCAACCAGCAATTAATGCGTCCTGATCTCCAGGAGTCCATCTTTCTGTGTCCCAGTGAGCAAACAAAAAATACTCAGTCTGAGGTTCAGTTCAAAAGTTGGCCAACGAAAATAAAACCAAGAGACGCCTCTCGTGTTTAATATACAAGCTTGGTAAAAGTTTCTGCAGTGTCAGCTTCTGTCAAGCTGAAGGCCGCCGTACAACAACAGGTCAAGGTGCAGCGTAACGGGCGAAGTTGATGCTTCGTCTGCAGACCGCTTGACTCTTGGGCGTCGAAAATCTCGTTTTATCACATCATGATAATATCAAACGCAATTAACCGTTCAGCCCTAGTCTGCGGCGGAGAAACAGCTGCAGCGTGATCCTCGCTTCACAGGACGTCCACTAAAGAGCCGGCTTTGCCGCTGACAGACTGTAGTTAGATCCTTTTTGTTTAACCAGAAACAAACGAACCTCCATCAGTTAGTTAGTGTTCAAAGTCCCACAGTATCACGACGATGGGCTGGTTTTGTCAGCGGGGTCTGGTGGCTTTGAACAGCGCGACACTGCGGCTGTCTCTGGTTAAACACAACCATTTCTCAACACGTGCAGCTAAAGGACGGACCGATTTCAAACCTCTCACATTCAGCCGGCTTTCAAAGTAAAATATTCTGTTTGGTTTCAGTTGGCTGGTGATTGTTAATATGATGAACATACTCGTGGCCTTTCTTTCCTTATGTCCACCTGTACACTCGCTCTGGCTGATCTATAACTGCTCAGACATGGAAGAGATTTCAGTTTTTGTCCAACGTGCTGCCTTTAATTAAAAGATTCAGCCTTTTTTATTGTGATGAAAGATTTTAGTTAAAAGCTGGTGGTGTATAAATGTTTTTAAAAAGATGTCCTGTCTCATGGTGCTTTGATCTCAAACTGCTGTTTCCTCTCAGAAGTGGAAGATCATGTCGTGTAAGATGAAGATCGAGCAGCTGAAGGAGGCGGTCGCCGGGAGCAACGAGGAGGTGACGAGCGGTGAGTGTCGTTCAGTCGCGCTCTGAATGAAAGATGTGGGATTTCCTGCGCATCCTGAGAGCAGTTTAACATCTTCTCGCTGTGTTGTAGCCGACAGCGTGTCAATAAAGTTCTTCATGCATGTTAAGCCTCCAGTAATCGACACAGCTCGGGTACTTCGCCCTGATCTCTGTTTCCGCCTCCCTAAACGACACAAACGAACTTTGTCGCTCTTTGCACTCCGTCACCGGACTTCTTCTGCGACTTGAGGCGGAGGGGGGGATGGAGGGGGGTTCGTCCCATTTGAGTTTGCAGACTTGTTCCTTCTCCTCCTCCTGCTGCAGATAAGGACGTCCTCCTGCGCTCTCAGGAGGAGGGGCAGCGGCTGCAGCGCCGGGCCGGACGCCACCAGGAGAAACGGGACAAGATCGAGCGTCACAACCGGCGGCTGGGCGAGCTGCTGGAGAGACGCAGCCGCGAGCTGCAGAGCAGACTGGGCCAGCTGGCGGCTCTGAGGCGAGACCACATCCTGGAGCTGACCACCCACATC